AAAAAACATCTTATTCAGTGCTTAACTCCCCTCTCCCTGATCAGCACGCAGAAGGTCCTTAAATGATTTCATATATTAGTGAATAACTGAATAATCCGACAAAACAAGATAATCCTAGATGCTTCATGTTCCCCCCCTCTTTTGTCAGCAGGGTTAATCATAAAATGCATGTAGCTTGACTTCAGAAGTTTTTTCTGGTGTAGTCCTTGCCTCTATAACAACCAATAGTTTTCTATCCTATTACCCAACACACGTATCTTTTAAAGCTAATGGTTGGATTTTATTTTCTTCTTCGTGATTTTCCGCATTTCCCAAATGTTGTTCTCTTGATCCATGCCAAATCAGTCACCTGACAAAAATCAGGAAATGTAAAGGAAAGTCTGAAAGAAGTCTAAGTCTGCAAGTATGATCAGACTCCCTTTAATTCAAATAGTCAAGTAACGAGGAGCCTAAAGATTAGTATTCAGAAAGCCAAACCGGCATTGTAGTGGGTGTTGGGGGGGAGGGGCGTGTATGGCAAATTTCAGGTGATGAGATACTAAAAGAAAAAAATAAAAAGCAGAATATTTTTAAAGCACATCCTCCTAATTCAAAGATGATCCCCTAATAAGGGGATGAAAGTGATAAAGTCACTTCCCAGTGCTCACAGTGAACCTACAGGACCAGCATTGGATGCCCATCAGCCTCCCAGACTCCTGCCCTGGACCCACCCCGACAGACACGTTGACTCTGGACCTGAGCAGTCTCCCCCAGTGTCTGAATGAACAGCAGCTCTGTGTCCTGGCCTTCCTCTCACATTCTGGAAGCTGCCATTGTACTCCAGAATCCTAGACTTTTTGATGAAAAGCTCCCTCTCTTCCAGGTTGAGGGAATGAACCGCAGATAATTGGCAAAGCACAAAAAAAAGGAAAACTAACCCTGAAGACCCAGCAGCTCAGAGATCAGTGGCTTAGACAATGCTACCACCCATTGGCCAAAAACAGAAGTACTGCTGCTCTTTGTGGGGAGTCTGGAGTGACTTAATGGAACATTTCAAGTGGATTTGCAACGGACAGTAGCCGAATTGTTGTTGCCATCATTACTGGTGCCTCAGCAATAAGTTTCTGATATTTATACCATAATCACAACAGCAGCAGGCCTATGATTCAGCGCTGCATCAGAAATTAAGGTTCTGGGAATGCAGAGCAGGAAATCCGTTCAGACTTTAAAAGAAGGAGCGAAGGGAGATGAGCAAAGTGCCCTAATGGGAAAAATAGATGGAGTCAGAGGCAGACAACACCCGGAGACTTCCACATACTGCACACTGACCGCACGAAGTACAGTCCTATAAGGAATCTAATTTAATCCCCACTAAAATTCTGCAAGACTAGTGCTTTTGTGCCCATTATTAAAGTGGGTAAGGGCCAAAGAAGCTACAGACGTGCATAAGCTCACAGCTCAGACACAGCAGGGCTGGTCTGAACTCCATTCTACCTGTTCTGTTCCCAAAGCCCATTCGGATTCCATCAGACCACAACCACCTACTCTCACTTCTCAACTTGTTTAGGGCAGACACTGAGTCTACAAGATTGTTTTCTTCTCGTAATCACAATCTCCTGCTGGGGTGTTAAAGAGTCAATGTTTTCGGTTTAAAGGTTAGATGTTGAACAGAGGAATGCACACTCTTGGAAATCTGGTGCCAAGGAATCTCTGTATCCAGAGGAACTCTTTTTTTTCTTCCCTCTCTCTCTTTCCTGCCCATTTCTCTCTTCCCTATAAAATCCTCCGCCTAGCTACAGATACAATTTCAGTTTAAAGCTGCACTGTCCTGTCCAACAGCCACTAGCTACATGCAGTGACTGAGCATTTGAAATGTGGCCAGTCCAAATTAATATGTACTCTACATGGACAAATATATACTGGATTTCTAAGATTTCATACAAAAATAAAAATACAAAATATCTCGTTAATGATTTTTATAGTGATTACATGGTAACATGATATTTTTGATATAGTAAGTTAAATAGTTATCACTAAGATAAACTTCACCTGTTTCCTCTTTACTTTTCTTTTAAATTTTTTTTTCAACGTTTATTTATTTTTGGGACAGAGAGAGACAGAGCATGAATGGAGGAGGGGCAGAGAGAGAGGGAGACACAGAATCGGAAACAGGCTCCAGGCTCTGAGCCATCAGCCCAGAGCCCGACGCAGGGCTCGACCTCACGGACCGCGAGATCGTGACCTGGCTGAAGTCGGACGCTTAACCGACTGCGCCACCCAGGCGCCCCTCCTCTTTACTTTTCAATGGGACTACTAGAAAATGTTAAACCACAGATGCAGAAAGCCCTCCATTACTACTGGCTAGCACTCATTTAAAGACACGCAGGGGCACCTGGGTGGCTCAGCTGCTTGGGTGTCTGACTTCGGCTCAGGTCATGATCTCACGGTCTGTGAGTTCGAGCCCCAGGTCAGGCTCTATGCTGACAGCTCAGAGCCTGGAGCCCGCTTCGGATTCTGTGTCCCCCTCTCTCTCTGCCCCTCCCCTGCTCATGCTCTGTCTCTCTTTATCTCACATTAAAAAAAAAATTAAAGACACGCAAACATGCTTTTGTAAATAAAGACATTTCATACCTTAATTAGTACAAGATAAGAGCATGAAACCAAAATCTATTTCTTCCTCAGCTGATAGAAAACTACCACCTGATGTTCAATTAAGACAGCTATAATTATTAACCAGGAGTTTCACGTTGTGAAGAAACTAATGAAGCCAGATTTGCTCTGATTGTGTGTCTTACGGGTGACTGACTTGTTCACTAATTATCCCAAAGTTTTTATCCTGCAAACTGCATTAATAATAGTGTAATTTATATTCTAGGAGCATGTGCCCAATAGGGCTCAACAAAGAACTTCACATCTTATGTCAAGGAAAGTAGGGCTGTTACCAGTGTTCCTAAAGCTGTGGAATCATCTTATCCCTGTTGAGCTCAACATCTTCAAAGTAGAGGGAAATCTCATCCTGAGCAAGACCAGTCATACCTTAAGAGGAAAGCAATTCAGCTTCTAAGGTTCCCTCCAGGCTAACTGACTAAGGGTTCTTGGCAGCTTTTCCTTATCTCATCAAAAAAAAAGCAACAACAACAACAACAAAAACCCTGGAGGGATGCCTGGGTGGGTTCAGTCAATTAAGCATCTGACTTCGGCTTGGGTCATGATCTCACCATTCATGGGTTCAAGCCCTGCATGGGGCTCTGTGCTGATGGCTCAGAGCCCGGAGCCTGTTTCAGATTCTGTGTCTGCCCCTCTGCTACTCGCACTCTGTCTCTGTCTCTCAAAAATAAATAAATAAATGTTAAAATTAAAAAAAAAACAAACCTGGAGAAAAATGGCCTTAGAGAAATCGACAAGCCAATGAACTCCTAAAAACAAGATATATTCAAAGTTCCAACCAAAGATTTATAGGACAGGTCTAGTCAATGGCTCTCTAGGATGACAAACTACTGGTGCAAACCACTAGGAGTTCCCTCCTGCACAGGGCCCTCAGAACAATGGTGACTTGGGGGGCACTGAGGTGGCTCAGTCGGTTAAATGACTGACTTCAGCTCAGGTCACGATCTTGCAGTTTGTGGGTTTGAGCCCCACATCAAGGCTCTGCACTGACAATATGGAGCCTGCTTGGAATTCTCTCTCCCTCTCTCTCTCAAGATAAATAAATAAACATAAAAAAAAAAAAATAGTGACCTGGGACTAGAACATCAGCAAGGGTGAGGGCCAACAAGAATGCCCCCTGCCTGCCCAACAATTTTGAAGAGCCTCCTCTTGCCTTGGACCAGGCTCTGTGTCCATCGTGATGCTGAGTTTCCAGACAGGGGAGGCTGGGCTAATTGATTTCTCAAGTTCACCTTCAAAACCAGACTCTGATCCTCTGGTCTCCACAGAAAGGAACACACCCAACAAGTTAAATTGAAGTAAAAAGAAATACCCTTGGCCTGAGGTCTCCTAGGAGTCCATTTGAACAGTGCACAAAGCAAACTCAACAGAGATCTTCTGCCAGCTCTTCTCAATTTTCTCTGCTATGTGTGATATTTTCCATGGATCAGACCAGAGATGTTGGTTGTAAATGATAGTCAGATGTTTAAACAATTTTGTTGCTGAAACATGATAATTTCCAGAAGCCCCCTTTCTAAACATGGTATCTCTGGGTGAGACCCACCACAAAGAAAATAACTTGTACAAGAAGAATGGCAGAAGATCTGGAAATTAACCAGGAAACTGGACCACAGCATGCCTCAAACAAAACAAAAAATCATTAATAGGAAACAGGCCAGTTTTTAAGGGTCATGGAAAGAATACACACTGGGTTCTCGGCAACTGGCTAGGTTTCAAAGTCAGTAACCTCCAACTTGTCAGGGAGGATTGTGGTTAATGCTGCGAAAGACATGTGCTGAAAGGTTTCTAGTTGCCCCTAAATTCCTGAATTTCTAGTCAGGATATCATACCACACATGTGCAAAACAGAAAAGTCTGGTAAATTTTAAATGGTTCCTGCTGTAAGTAAACTCAATATATAAAATTTTAACTTATAAAATCAATACACTAGGAGGTAATCATCCATATCAAAAAAGAATTAACTTCAACCTCTTTTTAAGTAAATTTTTTCCTATTCAGATATTAGGTTGAATCACACAAAATTGCCAGTTTTTGACTATTTTGACCAAATAAAACCAAAATCCTGGCAATCCCGTGTGGTTCAATCTATACATTTCATTACTAGAAAAATTTTAAGGGAGAACTAGGAATCCCTACAATTTCAAAATAGAGATTTTTAAAGCACTTCCCAAATAACAATTCAGTCAACAGGAAAACATTTTGTCCAACGATTTCAATTTTGATCTACATAATTTTTCAGTAACATACCTATACCCTGTTTTAATCTGAGTATTACAGGATGTAGTCAGTGATCACCAAGAATCTGGGGAATAAATTTGGCAATGCCTAAAATCATAGTAATAAACTCCACATTTATATATTTCTACATTTCAAAGTAGCTTTAATTGAAATCAGTCATTAAGCTACATCCCTAAATCTTTTGTGAAACTGAAACAAAGATGGAAGAAGGGGGGGGGGGGTGAAGGAAAGATGGACTAATTTTGATTATCAGAAATCTACACATCCAAATGAGGCTTGCGTTCCAAGGCGTCCCCATGGAACACTATGTATCTCTTCCCAGGTGGCACTATCATATTGCTCGGAATGTTTCCGGAATTACTCTCGGAACTGCCTTCAAATCTGCATAAGAAAACCAGTATATTACTCAATAGTCCTATTTCTCCTTTTCCTTCTTGCTTTCAAATTCCAAACTGGGGTCGACCACTACTAACCTTATTTCACAAGCGTGGATCCAATTGGTTTTGGGTTATTTGCTAAATAATACATCACCTGTCCAAACCCGTAGAACGTACAACACCAAGAGTGAGCCCTAATGTAAATTATGGACTTTGGATGATGATGATGTTCAATACAGGCTTATCAACCATGACAAATGTACCCCCTGGCGAAGAATGTTGCAAACGGCGGAGGCTGTGCACGTGTGAAGGCAGTGGGTATATGGGAAATCTCCACACCTCAACTGCGCCGTGAACCTAAAGGTGCTCTAAAAATGACAAAATCTTAATTTTAAAAAAATGACATAGGAATAAAATTAAAAACCGCTCTTAGGAATGGGACATTTGTGTACACTGAGGATACCCATGTGCCCACATTCCCTGGTTGTCCCCTTATCCCTCTTCTCCACCATCAGTACCCTCCACCCTCCGAGGAGAAAAAACAGGTGTGTTGTTTTTAAACCAAGGCGATTAGGAATGAGCCACTGGGGAATGTCCCTAGGGTGGCCAGCCCCAGTCCCACCTAGTGACTTTGGTGTCTTCCTTCACTTTCTGCCTCTACTGACGCATGGGCACACTGCACAGCGTGATGGATTCGTGAGGGAGCCTCTCCACGTGAGAATAACTGCCAACGTTTTCAGAGTTTACTTGAACAATTACAATGACCCATAAGCGAAAAATATTTCTTACGTCCAAGTCAAAGCAAGTGGATGTTCTCTTTGGGGATAAAGGCCAAGAGGTAGATAGAGCTCCTCTCGCGGACAGAGAGAGGCGAAGGAGGCCATCCCATCCCCGCGTGCAAAGGGCGTGAGGGACCTGGGGTCTAGGGGACCCTGGCAGGCCCGGCCCGGGGCTCTGAGGCGCGAGGCTTAGCGTTCTCGCCCGCCGCCAGGATCCCTCCAGCGCGCTCACGCGCGCGGTGGCCGCGACCCTTTTATAGACGCGCGGGGAAGCTGTCCAATGAGCTCAGCCCTCTCTGGGGCGCCCTCCGTGTTCCACCAATCAGACGCTGCTACGCAAGCCCGAAGCTGATTGGTCAGATTCCAGGGGCGGGGTTGGGGAAACACCGGGGCGGGCCCCAGGTGGGAGCGCTCTCGCGGCGCCTTAGAGGAGGGAGACTGGCGGTGAATGCGCGCTGTTCCAGTTAGCGTAGGGGCCCTCAATCAGGAGGTCCTGTGCGGCGAGAGCGGTTTCAGGGGAACCCGAGGAAGAGAGAGCCCCCTGGCGGGGTGCTGGGATGTGGGAAGGGCCCGCGGGCCCCACTCCTGGCTGAGATGGCCTACACCAAGTCTCCGGCTTGCTCCCTGAGGCAGGGAAACGAACAACCCAACAGTTAATTCTGATAATAATAACAATCGTCCCTGGGAGGGGACAGTTGGCAGCAGGTCATGTGAAAGTCTGTGATTGTGTGGGCTCGGAGTTTTCCGAGTTGAAGAAGGAAATGCTTGGTTGTTTGTTTGTTTGTTTGTTTGTTTTTCAAAGGAGGAAAATACTGTCAGCAAAACAGTGAAGGCAGTCAGCTGATTGATGTTCTGCAGGCCATTGAGACCTCCTAAAAGGAACGAGGGCTTCAGGAAGAAAGGTTGGACAAAGATAACGGGGGATAACAAAGTGGAAAGAAGAGGGAAGTATTTGAAAACTCTAGAAGAAGAAAGGGAACAGGTGAGTCAGAAAAAAAAAAAAATAGAAGAAAATGAAAAGTCTCTAAGGCTATGCTCGGTGGGTACCTCACCGTGTTTTCTGGCCCGTCCTCAGGATACCTGAAAAAAGAAAAAAGAAAAAAGAAAAAAAAAAAAAAAAGCTGCTTACTTATGGAGAGAGCTGAGGCTGATCTAAGTTAGTGCTGCCCCTGAAAATCCAGGAGGTGTGTTTGTCAGGCTCAGGGTTGAGTCAGGAGGACCCAAGCATGCCTGGGTGACCCGGCAAGAATTCTCATCCATCAACATTCAGAGTGTGTACCGTACTGTCCTCAAGAAGCTTCAGAACAATCTCAGAACACGGTCAATCCTTTATTAGATTCACTTGAGTTTCTTCCATCAAAGGCACCTGCCAAGTGGCACCGCGCTTCTAAGCCCTGCAGACCTTGTCCTTCTTCTGAAAGCATCCTGTTCTGGGAGGAATAACAATGGTGGGGTTTTTTTAAAGCTCCGCATGTGTGACATTTTTGTACTTTGCAAAGTACACTCACCCACTCCCTTCTCTTCTGACACTGTGTCTCCCCAGATGTCCCGTTCCTGCGGAGGCTTTGTGTCCGTTCCCCCAAAGTCACATCCCCTGGCTCACATCCTTATATTGTTTTTACTGCTTCTCCAAGCTTGTTTCTGATTTCCACAGAGGCTGCTGTGATTCTGAGCTTGCTATACATAAAATTACTTTTCCAGGAACATTATTAGTGAAAGGAAAGATCCCTCTTTTCCATTATGGAGATACACCAGTGCTACTTACCTCTTCGTCCTCTCTTATGAAACCAGCTTTGCTATAATTAACTTTCACTTCCTTGAGCAGCTCTGCCCAGTCACTTCTTCATTTGTTCCTCAGGAATTTCTTGTTTCATTTCTGAACTTCAAGAGGCTGGGACCTGTCTTCATTAGGAGTCTAGCATCTCGTTCTTTACAGAGCTCTCAAATTGGATATCAGAGCGCAGAGCGCTAGAAACAGCAGGCTGGCTCTCTTTAATTTTCTAACAACTAATGTGACAGCTGTCTAGCTTCTAGTGTTTCCTGACTCTTCCTTTCCCCTCTTCGTGCAGCTGACCCACCTTACCGATGTCATTCTGTTAGTATTTAGATGAATTATGCTGCAGGTTTTCAAGCCAGTTGAGGATATAAGACCGTTAATGTCTAGACCTCAGGTCTATTGGCCTTAGATCCTAGTATCATTTCCCCACATGGACAGGTTGGTGGCGCTGTTCTTTGATTTCACCTCGTATCCATGTAAATGGCTCTCTGCCTGCTAAGCCTTCGGGAGGAAAGAATCGAATAGGAATTACCTTCCCCAACTCCAGCTCTTCCGTCCTTTTTTTAAATGTCCAATATTCTGGACTCCCCCCCCCCACACACACACACACTTATTCCTGAATCAGTATATTCTGAGTGTTTGGAAGTGAAAGCACCTGGTCAGGAGACACAGCTGCGTAGGGCAGACTACTCTAGAAACAACAGGGTACCCAGAGGAAGCCCCCGAAGTTCACAGGCAGGTCTGTACCCCATGTCCTAAGCCGAGTGCAGGTTTGAGGGAGACTGTGCACACAAGGGGTCATGAGCACAGGTCCCACCTGTGGCACCTGCTGTCTGGGAGACTCTAAGGGACTTACTCAGCCTCCACCTCTTTGTCTGTAAAAGGGGCAGAATGGAACCAACTTCATAGTGTTGCTGTGAAACTTAAATAGGCCAGTCATATAAAGTGCTTAAAACAGGACCTAGAATTGGAAGTGCTCCATACGTATTAAGTGTCATTATCATAAAGCCGTGATCCCACACCCACAATGGTGTGCCGCCCCCCGTGAGCATCTCTGACAGAATCGTTCTCCGGGTTCGGACAGTGAGGCGTGGGACTTCTCACACGTCTTCTTTTTGTCGACACCAAATGAACAAACCTTTTAGAATCTCTGAAAGTCAGAAAGAGAGTTTTATTTCAGCCCAAGTTAGGACCGCTGCCCGGAAAACACATTCTTCACAAGAAGGAAAGTGCTCTGGAGCATCAAGAGTTTTGAGGGGGTTATAGCCTTTTCACATCTTGGAGAAGCTCAAAAGACTAGGGATTAGCATCTAGGCAGGAGTCATGGGTTTTATCATCAAGGAAAGCAGGGAGCGGGAGCCGTGATCGCTATTTCAAGGACAAGATGGTTTTCCTCTGGGCTACTTTTCACAAAGCAGATGTACAATGCATGCGTGGTGGGGCCGGAAATCAGGCTTTGGGTTTGAACGAAGTTTACATACAGTCATGTTGACTTAGAAAGACATCTAAAACGGCTTCCCTTGTATAGATCAGGCCTCTAAAGAGGTTTTTTTTTTTTTTCTCTCACTACTTTCTTGCCATAGGAGGTACTTGGTGTCCAGAAAGCTTTTGCTTAAACTGTAGGGAAAGCATCGGAATCCGTTTTCCTTTCTACTACAGTACAAGGGTGCATATGAATCGTCACCACTGATGCTGGAAATTCCCCCACACAAGTTCCTCTGTGACCTATCAGCAGCAGCAGCAAAGACATGCACGCGTCCCCCACTTGCTCCCCCGTAGCTGTCGGTGTTCCACGACCAGATGCTCCAGTGCAGCCAAGGGCGCGGTGGACGCAAAAAAATCAGTGCCCTGAGAGCCACCACTGAAATTAAGTGTTGCTTGTGGGCACAAGTCAAGTGACTTTCTAAGGGGCGGGGTAACAGGAACTACCAAGCGAATGAGGTGGAGCGTTTGACGGGAAGTGACACAGTGGCCACACGGTGGCGCAGGATGATGAGCGACTGACTCCGTTCTGCACGAGGGCCCATCATTGATGCCCTTGAAAGCTCTCTTTGCAGACACTCGTGTCTTCTTCCGCATTCCACAATCTGCGGCCTTTTCCCCGCAGTGCCTCTTTCCTTTCGTAATGTCCTAGCTCCCATGGTTACGATGGTGGATTCCTTTTCTCCGGGTTGACCCTGATTGCTGGCCCGTACTCGGCAACCCCCTGCTTCTGGAAAGCGGTTCCTCCAGTGAAATCTGCAAGACCAGTGGAAGCTGAGCAAGGCAGGGAGCAGCCCGCCCCCCTCTTCCCCCTCCCCCCTCATTTCACCCATCAGGTTAGGGTCTGGGAGTGCCGCTTAAAGCTGCTGGCATGTTTTATGTCACCTTCACAAATTTCCTGAGTGGCGTCACCCTGAGTTTTTCAGATGATATGATCTTTTACAGAGGACAGAGATGTGGGCATTGAAATTGGGAGAGAACCACCAAACCACCAGGGGCCTTCTCTGCAAAGCCCTGGGTACTGTCCCACTCTGGAAGGAGGCAACCCTACATGGCACCCCGAACTCTGCCTTGATTGTCCCCACATCTGGGTGGATGAGGAGCCCCCCGGGAGGCTCGGACATCTTGAATGGAGAGTTATCTTCTTCCCCGTCTTCCTCAAAATGAAGCCTGTTGTAGAAAGTCCCCGCTGGCTCCAGGAACACGTCAGCCACCACACCTTTGCCGTCTACCCTCTTCAAAACTCAGTTTGTGTCAGGGCTTATCCCAAACGTAGATTCATTTAGAAAATACAGCTCACTGATGTGTAACTAAAAATACGTAAATACGCCCCCAAAGCAAAATCTAAACAGATGTCCCACTCTGTCCCCCTTCAGATAAAAAGTGACCCATCTCTTTCAAAGAGGGGGGAGAAGCTGGGCTAAGTAAGAATAAAACATTGGGAAGTGGGGAGAGGAAGGGTGTGTTTTGTTTTCTCCTTGAGAGACAGGAGCAAACCCTAGGAGTGGAATGCAGCGGCCTCCAAGGCCCTGGGGGAGTGTCCCTGAGACCCTGCACGTTGCTCCCAGCCACTCCCCAGAAGACAGAACAGTGAGCCTGTGCCCTCTACACCATCTGAGAACCCCCTCTCTCCAGGCAGGTGCTGCTTGCATGCACACCCACCCCCGAGGAAAGGGGCCGGGGGCCCCCGCCCCCCCCCCCCCCGTGCAGAGATTCGGGGACTGAATAGGAGCT